ATAAAAAGAAAGTACATGATCTTACTTGAGTCTTACCCTTCAAATAACCACAGAGGATAAACTGCCAAGTTTTTCCTATTAAGAGATAGTAATCCATATTCACAAATGTTTTACAGCAAAAGGTAACAAAAAACCATTAAGCAAAATCACATACATCAAGTTCAAAGAAAAAATCTTGTTCTTTGGATGCAATTTCATAATCCGCTCTTAAAGCCAGGTCATGGACTTTCAGACATTCTCCAAGGTCCATTCTCTGGAAGGGAAAAAAAACATAACATTAAAACAAAGAACACTTTTCTTGTTTTTTTAAATGCATCAACAACTACAGTTCTTTTTAGAATACACATTAAGTCATACAGATGCTTCTTTATGTAGGGGTTTCCAAATTACAAAATTTCATAGACAAATATAAAACATGGTGTCAGAAGAAAAAATGGCACCAATTCTGTCTACCAAGAGATGGGAACAGGGATCACTTCTACTTAAGAATAAATGGATATGGAAAGGTGTTTCAGAATCTGAAAAAAGCTTCTAGCTTCTGTATCACAATAGTTCATTTAGCTCTACAACACAAAAATGTTAAAGTTAATTTTAAACCATACTAAAAGAATATATAAATCTAATTGTTGAGATGTCAATGTGCTTTGAAGAACGCTCTATTTTTCAAAAGATGGAGTCAAGAAACAGGCTAGTTGCTGGGCATGGTGGTTCATGCCTATAATCCCAGCACTTTGGAAGGCCAAGGCAGGAGGATCACTTCAGCCCAGGAGTTTGGGACCAGCCTGGGCAACATACTAACACCTGTCTCATTTTAAAAAATAAAAAATAAATTTAAAAAAACACACACAACAAAACAGGCTAGTGACTTTCATACAGTCTTTTCTGGCAATAAGACTCTGTGTGAACTAGTAAAGAGATGATTTACTAATAAGAACCAATATAAGTACCTAGAGAACAAGAATTTAACCCCACCTATGATAAGCATATATCAGGGAAATAAATACTCTTACTGAACCCAGGATCCTTCTACTTGGAAATTCCAATTAGGTATTATTTACCAAACCAGAGGCTTTTCTCATATATGAGAAATCTATCCATTTTTACATGTACCTAAGTAACCGATAAGATCTTTCAGGAAATTCTTCTGGGGGAAAATTTTTAATTTTTAATTAAATGTTTTATTTTTAATGTGAGAAAAAAAATTAGCAAGATGCAAAGATCATCATCACAGGTGTGACCAACCAATGGGTAATCAAAGCAAAGCAGAGATTTTCCAACTGGAGGTGTGGCCACCCTTCAAACATCTCAGAATCTCTGGAGGGTTGGTACAAAAGGAGTACAAGTTATTCTCATTCCTTCGACTATTAAGTTCCCACTTGTGGAAAGCACTATGTTAGGTACTCGGGATATGGAGTTAAGTCACACAGTCTGACTTCATGGAGCTCACATTTTATATGAGGAGAAACAACAAGAATCATGCCTATGAACAGTTGGATGATGCAATAAAACAGCAATGCTCCCTGTTATTATGGGGGGCTACTTGGGATGAGCTGGTTAAAGAAGACTTTTCTAAAAAGGATACAATTAAATTGGATCTATAGAAGGAGAAGCAAATGAATCTTAGAAAAGCCAAAAAGTAATGCTCCAGGTGTACAGAAGATTTAGAAGGCAGATCTTTAAAATATTTATTTATTTATATGCCACAGTGAAGTTTATGGTAACAGGGAACAGGACTAATACATAGCACACAGGTCTGAGCCTTAGCTTTGCATACAGTATCTAAAAATTAGTTTGCCTATTTAACTTTCTTGCCAACAACCTAATTATAAAACAAAAGTATAATTAATTTTATACAATATCCCAACTCAAAAGGAAAGTTAATTCATGGATCAAGATTCAAAAGTATTAATAGACCAGATAAAATTTTAAAGAAATATATATGAAATCCTATATTTACATATCCAAGACAATAAATGTACAAATAAATAGGTATGAGCAGAGAATCACACAATTTGAAAATTTAAGGACTCATGGGTAACGGTTACAGTATGGCACAACTGAAAAATCTGTTTCTCTAAAACTAATTTAAAGAGGGGACAGTATAAACAAAGTGGGAACTCTCTATTGAAGGCTGTTTTGTTT